TCCCATAAGCCACACAAAGGAGGGATTTTAGAGGCAGTTACACCCCATAATCGCCTATAAATAGCTGAAAGATCATCTTAGTTCAGATCTTTAGATCTTTGGATCATTAAGCATTTTCGGATCTAGAGATCAGCAAAGAGCTTGGAGCGTTCTTCAGCAACCGAGATCAAGGAGCTTTGATACTTGGCTTATTAACCGAATTTCGGTTCAAATCAACTCTGTTACAGAGTTTAAACTCGCACGGAGTTCTTAAACTCGTTAAGAGTTATTTTTAAACTTGTCACGCAAGTTTTATCAACTTCAATCCAGTGAGGTAAAACGTCGGGTCGCCAACGAGAAGCAAACTTGATACGAACGTGGAGAGAGTCATTTCATCGCTACCGTGAAGAACCCAGTTTTAAACAAAGGGGAGGATTTCTGTCGATCCTCTTCTCTTTTGTAAATCGGGATTCCGATATAAGAAGATTGTAATTTTTTTCTAAGTTAGTTATAAAGAAATTATATTGAGACAATTGTATTCATTCTTTGTCTAAGCTAGTTAGAGAGATAATACAATAAATTATATTCTTAACTGTCTTCTTCAATTTTCCCACCAAACACTTTTTTTTATTACTATGTTCCCTTTGGTGAAATTAGTGAGTCTACAAGAGGGAAGCAAAGTCAAATAACAATAATAATAACCTGGCGGCCCTATCTATAATAAGGAAGCTACATTGGTTCTAAGTGCAAAACAGCAAAACAACAGGGGGTATATGTGCAATTACCCCTGATAAATAAGACGTGCAATTCATAATCATGATAGTTTTGAAGAAGCAACAAAAACTAGAGATAGAGCTTGAATCAACAATGATGACAATGCTGAAAAGAACGTAATAGCTAGCCTTCACCAAGGCTATGCAGCAATTATTATCCTCTCAACAAACCTTTGATGCTGAGAAGCTGAACAACCATCAGTGCTCGTAAATTTGTGAAGATAATTTGACCTTAAAACCCTCTCAGCACAATAACATTTTTGTATGTTGTAAAAATTGCAATAAAGAATAAAAGAAAATTGATTTGTATTTCTTCAATTCGGTTACAATTTGATTACAAAAGAGAGAAGAACAAATTTGGTTCTCCCCTTTGTTTAAAACTGGGTTCTTCTCGGTAGCGATGGAGTGCCTCCTTCGATTGCTTGCGTCGAAATTGCTCTCCGTTGACGATCCGACCGTCTTTTATCTCGTGGGAACGATGAACTTCTGTGGAAAGTTTGATGGGTAACTCTTAATGAGTTTAAGAACTCTGGACGAGTTAGAACTCTGTGAATAGAGTTGTTAGAACCGAAGATTTCGGTTAATGATCAAGCAGATATTCTGCTGTTGAAGAATCCTTTCAGTTTTGATCTTCTGAATTCGATTCAAAAATCCATCTCCAAGGATTTCCTCTTCGCTGCTTCTCTACGTGGTTGAGATCCTCCAGAACCTCCAAACCCGTGCGGTTTAGATGCTCCAAATCCAACCCTCTGCCGCCTTTCTGTTTCAAAAAGTCAGCCCTTAACTCAGTTGAGTTTGTTGAGATTTTATAGGTGGATAAGAGGTTGTAACTGCCCTCTAAATCCGCTCCTAAGTGGGCGTGATTTCCTCAGATCGTGGGGAAAACAGTTCTGAAACCGTTCGACTCATGTTTGAACGAGTCAAACGCCCAATCTGGCGTTCAGAACCCCAACTTCGCGTCTTAGAATTGAGACGCGAGGTTGGGTGTTGACTGAACATCAATGAACGCGAGGGTCGCTCGCGTTTTGCTTGTTTGCAGCTTGGAAACGCTGAGGTCGAGTGTTGGTTGAACCTCAAGAACGCGAAGGTTTTGACTTGTTGTAGCTTGGAAACGCGGGAGTCGCCTGCACTTCCAGAATTATAACGCGGGGATGACTTCCGCGTTTTAAAAGGGGTTAGTTGATCTGTAACCTCTCCTACAAAGCGTTGCAAGGACTGTTGTTCAGTAATCCTAGCTTTAGCTGTTGTGGAGTGTGAAAGTCGTCAGATTGTAACTTTCACTGTAGATTGTGAAGACTGCTGAATAGGGTTTCCATCAGTTATCGGAAGTATCGTTGAATTGTAACTTTTCTCGATCTGTGGAAAGTCATCCGTTTGCAGCTTTCGTTTGTTGGCATGAAAGTTATCTAATTGTAGCTTTCATTGTTGGAACTTGATGGGGATCAATTATTCATTGTGATATTTAGACGAATATTTGCCTACAGCTCTCTACTAAGTAACTCACCAACTAAGTCCAACCTTTTATTTTTGAAATCATTACACTGCTCATCAGCATCTCTAATAGTTGCTAATATAATATTAGTCATGTTGTTGTCGCAGCCATCAAGACCAATCATCTCAAATATGAGGCCGTATTTGTAGCGACTGTAGAGTTGCGGATGCAGTGATTAGAAAGTCGTTTGATTGTAACTTTCATTGTCGAGGCTTGATGGGGATCAGCTATCCATTGTGATTTTTTAGACAGCCTACAATTTTCAATGACTAAAATACCATTTTAGTCTATAAAGTGACACCTTATAACTAATAAGACCTAAAAAATGACGCCAGCGACAATAACACCTATAAATTAACACAGTTAATGACTTAAACCTATTCCCATTGCCGACATTTTGATTTGCGCAAGAAAATTATGAATTTTTACATATATACCCCTTATATCTCTCACACTTACGAATTTATCTTCAAAATTAAAATATTTGCATAAAAACCTAACTCTTTCTTTCTTTTCAACCCCTCTCTCTCCCCATTCCCCTCACTTACCTCCTCTAGTTCTCTCCTCCACTTCCCTTCCTTCACTCTCTTCTTCACTTTTAAGTTAGTGTTTGAGGGGAGAGATGAGAGAGAGGAAACGAGAGAAGGGAAGGGGAGGAGAAGATTGAGATGAAAGAATAGAGAGAGGTTAAGGGGAGGAACAAGGGTGGAGGAGGGATGAGAGGAGGAGAATGTGAGGATTTTGGAAAGGAGGAAGGAGGAAAGAGGAAAGTGAGTAAGAACGGAGAGAAGAACGGGACAAAACAGATGGTGGAGGGAGGGAGGGAGGAAGGGAGAGTTTTGGGAAGGAGAAAATGGGGGAGGAAGTATTTTGAGGAGGAAAGAGGAGAGTTAAATAATGGGAGAAGACAAGGATGAAGGAGATGATGGTAGAGACGGTGGGGTGGGGTGAGGGGTGCGGGGAGAGAGAGAGAGATGGGGGAGGGAGGAAGGGGGAAGAGAGAAAAGAGGAACTTTTTTGTAAATATTTTAAATTTCGGAGGGAAAATATGTAAATGTGAGATCTATGAGGGGTATATATATGCAAAAATTTATACTTTTCAAAGTCAACCAAAATTCCGGCTAATGGAGTAGGTTTAAGTGGTTCAATGTGTCAATTTATAGGTGTTATCATCGCCGACGTTATTTTTTAGATCTTATTGGTTAAAAGGTATCATTTTATAGGCTAAAGTGTTATTTTAGCTCATTTTCAACAAATAAATACTTAAATGGACCTTTTTCCTCGCAATCACAAGGAATCCAATTAATTAAAACCTTGTGTGCTCGTGAATCAGTTTTCATTAATTTATTACAGGAGACACGAGGGAATTCAGAGAGAGTGGCTGCTTTATTCCACCTGTCTTAAACGTTAACGGATGGACACGTTGCTATATTGGACTCTTCTGAGAAAATGTTGATTTGAAAGAAACCCAAAGATCGAGCACAAAGGATTCCATATCTCCTGTTAGAAAAAAGTACCAATTAAGGTGCTGATTTAGACATTTGCCATTATCGACAGGGGTCCGGATCCTCTCATAATGAAAAGCTCTTAATATCTCCTAACAAGGAGATCCTATCTTTTCATTTTCATCACGGCCTTTTATTTTCTCATCCATCCTTGTGTGCCCCCCTCCCAACTCTTCACAATTCTTCATTAGGAAATATTAGGATGAGGAGAGGATCCCAATTCATTTTTCCACCTACCCATCCATTTGAGTCCCCGTCGAAACTTTCCATCAATTTTTATTGCGCTTGGTTCTTTTCTAGGGCTTGTTTCGCAAATGGCTAAAGCTGGTTTCAGATGAAACAAATTTCGGCCCAAGTGTTCAGGCCCTAGTTTGGCATATGATAAAGTTGGACAAAATCAATGTTCTGTGGCCCAAGTTCGCCTACCAACTGGGGCATAAATAAACCCTCTTTTCTGAAATAGAACCCAATAAGTTGGCCCTAAAAAAATCTAATGAAATGGAGGGGGGAATAAAAAAGAAAGACCATGTGCACATAGAAACTAGTTCAGCTAGAAATAAACCAAACTATGTTCAACTCAAAACTAGTCCACACAGAAACTAGCTCAGCCTAACCAAGCCTACGTGTAACTTGGATCCCCAAAAAACTAGGTTAGTTTCTTAGTTGCCAAACACACCCTTCGTTTCTCAATTTTAACAACTCGAAAAAAACTCTACCTTGACAATCTACTGTAATACAAAAGCATAATCTCCCAAGCTATTGTCCTGTTTGGATGAATAGAAGACAAAATGTGCATCAACAATTTCTCTCTGATCCCCCCGAACCAAGAGATAGTTGCATCCCAAGCTCCGCGGAGTCGGTTTTAATGTTTCTAGGGTCTCTTGTATACCCCCACAAAATCAGGAATAAGTATAATCTCAAAACCATATTGAGAATTCAAGCTAATATATCTCGTGTAACAGGTTACTGTGAAAGTTAAATGACTCAACGTCTGAAGTGACTAGTAATTTGTAACAAACATTTTGTGACACTCTATTAACATTCTTTGTGCTCTACAGACATGCAATAAATTAGTTATCATATGTTTAGCAAAAGTGTTGCTTATAACCCTCTCAAATCAGACGAAAACCACCTAAAGAGCATCCCACCTCATTCATGCTAAACATAACGACAGTATGCTACAAACCTATGGTGTGAAATAATCACCATACCTATATAAAGATCACCACCTCAAGCAGAGACATGCAGAAAGAATTTCCAAGGAGACGATCACTATGATGGTTCCAAACAAATTGAGGATGTTAAAAAGAATAAGTAATTGTACACTGGTACGGTATCGATTGAAGCTAGCATTCTACTCATGTTGTGTACCTGATGCTGAAATTTTCAAATGGCACAAATGCCTTGACAGCAGACATAAGCAACCACAATGCCCAGAAGAGCTCCGGCAATTACTTGGGATGGAGTGTGACCAAGGAGCTCTTTAAGTTTTCTTTGGCTGATAGGATGGCCTTGAAACAAGTCCTCGATAATCTTATTTAGTACCTGTCTCATGCATAAGGAATTTGAACAATAAATGACTAGAATAGATAGAGTATTACAAGTAACAGAGTAGAACGCAAAGATAACAGTTGGCTAGGGCATGAATATATAAATCCGTAAAAAAAAATGAATAAACTTCTGAAAATGGAACAGTTATTTCTTGAATTTGTTTTAGACCAAAACAGTTGCTTGTCAAATTGAAAAAAATAGTGGGGAAAAGACATCCAAAGTAAAAAATCTATGCAGTGGAGGAGTAATCTACAACAAATCGGACTCAATATGAAATAAAAATCAAATGGTCTTATTGCTTATTAACAACGAACCAAATGTATAACAAAATTAACACGTATTAGACTGGGACTATCGACATTCTGTTACCAAGTTTGTTCTAGTTTCAGAATAATTCTAGCAACTGCAGAGGCCGTAACTTTTCAGCACAACACAGCATTATCCATAAGAACTTCCACGTTCAGCCTCCACCAAGTTTGCGTCTTGTATCTTATAGATATTTATGCGAAGAATAGTCGGAAGCATAAAGATATTTCTCGTCACCATCTAACTTATAGATGCTTCTATCCTAGCTCGATCCTCACTTCTGACACTGACTGGTTCTCTCAGTTATCCACCACAAAGATTTCCCTTGTCTACAAAAGCACGAAATGCTTGCTCCAGCTTCAGTTTTTATGCAATTAGGAGACACTTCCTCCTATATGAGTCCTTATGTCTAGTGCAGCTTCTTATTCCAGATTATTCATTTAAGATTCAAAGTTTTATCCTTCGCCCATTAGAAAACTCTTTTGTCTTCCCCTCTACTTTCTTTAACTTAAAACATAGTAGTTACAATTACAAATTAAACTGACAAGAGAGCGTTACCTTGGTTATGCCGCTCTATTTTCTTAGACACCTTATATAGTGTGAACGGATTGACTAAATGATCTGACTTTATCATATGAATATCATTCTGTCTCTGCTTTCAACTTAGTCTGTTCAGAACCTTATGTCCCTTAGGAGATGGAGAGCATTGTCCTGTTTCAGGCCGCATAAAGTCACCCACGTAGACTTTTCTTTGTTGTAAGTATCATAAATTGTATCCGTATGTATAAGGACTTGTTGCAAAACCTCCTACTTCTTCATACAAACTGATTTAAAACTTATTTTAACTGTTAGACGAGGGAACTTACTAAGTTAAATCCGCCTCACACTTACAAGGTTTCACATTTAAGATCTCATGCCCCATGTACACCCATACATTGTTGAACCAATAAAATCAAAACTTTCAACTCTTACTTTGTTCTAATACCTATTGATCACTCTTAAATTTGAATCCTACTTTGTTGCTATCCTGTCAGATTATGTTTATCCTCAATTTCTTTTGTTTCTGATGTTATGCTTTACATGTTTCAATTCTCTCTTCCACCAAATGATCGAGCAAATTTCGTAATCTGATATTTGGATTTTGACTTAGAAGGTTGAGCATAAAAAGTTAACAGCATTATGTTCCTCGCGCACACCATCTACACAAGTCATCTAACGATAATTCTCATTAGTACGTACCACAATGTTCTTTCCAGTTCACCATCTACACAGTCCATGCTGATGACTATCAACTTCCTAGATGCCAACCCAACTTGTCAGTCCTCTTCCTAGACTGCAGTTATTCCATCTTGCAATTTCACTCTTGATGATCTACAAATCTTCGTAGAGATACTGACTGCAACACGTTTTAGTCAGCTGCATGATAGAATTGTGTACACAGTTTATCGATTCCATACAAATGACGAAATCAATAGATCCCTGTTAATAATACAACTATCTGAGAGCAGCAAATCATAATCCAGACGTCCTGACCACAGATTATAATCTAATCACATTCTCTGAATGTTTCTGTCCTTTACGTAAACGTCATCCACCAAAGGAATTCGCATATAAATGCTGCATTTATTTTAGGTCTCATCAAAGCTTTTTTATCTCACTGCATCAATAAGAGGTTTCTGTATCATCTTGCATCCGCCAATTTTTTTTAGTGTTTGCATGCAGAAAACTGATAGGCAATGAGGCTGCTAGGATTATAGCAGTGTTTTAAAGGCAATACACCTTAGCGCCTCAGCCGCTCCGGTGAGGTGATCATGTAACTTAGCGCCTTGTGTGTTGTCAAGCGATGACGATTACTAATGTGATCACTGATCGCCCTTTGGCGCCTCATGACCTCATCTTGGCGCCTCAGACGCATATGCAAGGCATGTGATGCAAGACACGAGGTGTTTATCTTTGTTTTATAAGTTTGAGGGTGCGAAAGTTTCGGATAAAGTAAAGTTTATTTTTATTAATGAATTTTTGCATTTCTTTTTACTTGGTCAACTTTTTTACTATTTTTTGTTGCGATGTACTTAATTACCTCTATCATTTTGAGGACATGCCACAATTTGAACCTGAAAGAAAGTTTGCTGCTTAATTATTTGTGTTAGCAATTACTAGTTAATATTACTATTCAATATTTGTTACTTACTATTTCCTTTATATGGTTTATGACTCATTGGATCTGTGACTTTGAAATTTTGGCTAGGATTGTTGTTATTGATAATTGCATATTATTTGTAATGTTTTTGCATTTTTCAAATATTATCGTCTTGATTCACTCAGTCGATCACCTTTTTTGGCGCCCCTTGCATCAAGCAACATAGGATCTCATCGCATTGACCTCACATTTTGCTTTTAAAACACTAGATTACAGTTTTTCGGTAAGAGGTAGTAGTGCACTTCTCTCCCAGATGCATTATTTTTAATATCCCCGACATGGCCCAATATATCCTTCTACAGGGCTTGTCGCAGTCAATATGGTCTCTAAGTACCTTTTACCGCTTTTTGGCTATTTTGGGCGATATATCCCTGATATAGGCCGATATATCCTTTTATAGTTTTTTATTTTTATTTTTCATGGGTTTTGTTTTGAAAAGTATATACTAAAAAGTTGTAATTTGTCAATATGGCCTCTAGACTCGTCCCTATTAGGCTATTACCATCGCTACAGTGCATAGATATGTAGAACTACAAGAGCAAAAAAACCTATGCGGATACAACTGTTGTTCCAATTTTCTGCATGCATGCAGCCTATGATTGGTAGCTCTTCTTCAATCATTATCTGTTCCGTACTGAATATTTATTACAAAGAGATTATAGAATTAATCAATTCCTTCCAAATCAATGTTGTATTGTTCCCATATTCCACCTGAACTTCCTTGCAGATGACGATTAGTACATATGTATCCCTCATATTACATAAACATGCAAGAGTGCTCTCCTACCGACATTTTTCCCTTAAAATTCCAGGACAGAATAATTCATGACACCCATTTTCACAATTATTTGCAAAATCCATCTTATCCTCGTACTTAGCTCAAACCACACATGCTTCTCCGTAGATTCATAATCTTAAGTATGGCCATTTTTCCTCTTTGTTTCCATTCTAAGTCCTTTACACAAAAAGAACTGGTCAATTTCATGACATCGATCTGTATCCTTGTTAAAACCTTACCATCTGTGTCCTTGTTAAACTTTAACATCATTACAGTTCCCCTCTTTTCTCTAATATTGAGAACTGCAAGTAAGTATACGGAACCAACAAAGTGTAAGACCACCGTAGCAAACCAATCTAAGTTGGTTAGTTCACGTGCAATTGTGGTCATTAAATGCACCAACTAGAATAAGGGAAATACTACAATTAATGGAGCAAGGACTAAAGACAGGCCTGAAGAAGACTTGTCCAGAAGACCTTAAGAAGGGTACAAAATAATGATTAACTTAGTCGAGGGGATTCCCCTCGACAGCCTGAACGGAAGAATAGGATTCACATAGCCAGTCCAAAAATTTTGGGATAAAGTCCTTGTTATTGTTTGTAGGATATGCAGTCTGATTCATTATCCTGATATTAGCCATTTTACAATTTGAAAATAAATAACAACGAAAAAAAATGAAGAAAACATGGTTAAAACAAAGTTTTTTTACGGAAAAAAAAAACCCCTCACCTCAGCTTGCATCCCGGCGTGCCTTCTGACCCCAATGGCATCATACATAACAATCAAACTAAACCCTAAACACACAGGAAACAGGGAATCCCCAACCCCATGGCACAGCGCCACCGAGGCCGTCAGCGCCGTGCACAGCGCCGAATGCGACGACGGCATCCCGCCGGAGCTCACAAGCATCCCAAAATCCCACGTTTTCTCGACGAAGAAGTTCAAGAACACCTTCATGGACTGCGCGAGGACCCAAGCGACAAGCCCAGAGACAAAAGTAGGGTTTCCCGCCAGCGTGCCCAGGAAAGGGCTGACCTTCGCCCTGGATACCGACACGGCGGCGCTTGTGCTCATGACTAAACTGCCGATGCTGCTGCCCTTGAGGAGGTTCTGGTTGAAGATGCTGGCGGAGGGGAGGCCGCCATTGGAGAAAGATTGGAGCTTTTTGAGGACCAGGGTTTTGAGGTTGGAGGGGAGCTGGGGTTTAGGGTTTTGGGGAGAGGGGACGGGGAGAGAGAGGAGGAGGGGGTTGTTGAAGCTGCTGCTTATGGTTTCCATTGATGTAGCATCAGCAGAAGCAGCAGAGCATTGCTCGGGGGGAAGACGAAGAGGAAAAAAGTAGGGATTTTTCGTGAGGAGGGATTCGTTTGCTTGGGGTTTGCGGATCGCGGAGTACAAATAAATTCAGGAGCGTCGAACCCAGATAGGATTATTCCCGAATGATCTCTCTCTGTTCCGCTTCGTAAAAGACTCTGCAAACTTTTTTTTTTTTTTTTTCTCGAAAGGCTGCTCGGACGGAATATTAGCCAGATGAGCGGTGGTCGAGTGTAAATATATGTGACATAAAAACCAATTTCTTTGGGTCCTCCGCCGAAAGCCATATGACGAGTTCAAAAAAAAAAAAAAAAACGCTGATGTTTATTGATTAAAGTAATATTCTATAATGATCGGCACTGGTAGCTCTCTTCCTCTCTATACATGATAGACTTTATAAAGAACCATATTCTTATTGAACCTTGCACAATGTGTTCTACGATCTAATGGTCCCAAATGCCAATCATGAAAAAATAGTTTAGAGCTGGACAGTCGGCCTTGAACTTCAAAGTAGTGGTGGTAAACAATGGAATCGAATAGAGTACTAATTGTTTCGTATTTATATTTGTTTAAAATTATCGAATTCGAATGCGGACTCTAATATTCATATACGGAGTTTTTCGAATTCGAAATCAAATACTTGGTATTTGAAAAAATGTTCACGAATATTTATCGAATATTAAAATATATTTATTCTGCTAAAATTTTTAATTTTTAAATAGTATTTAAATTAATAAATAAAAACTATTCATTTAATTAGAAAACAGATTTAAAATTATTTAAGTCTTAAAATTAGTACACAAAACTTAAATAGAAATGGTAATTGGGTTAAAAATATAACATTATACGTACAATTATATCAATAATAAGTGACCAAATTTTAAACGAATATTTAATAGACAAACGATTCGAATACACGTCTGGTTAAATTCTATTCATTAGTAAACTCGAATACTAAAAAATATTTGTTTAGTAATAAATAAACTACCAAATCAAATACGACCGAATAGTTACTCGAACAATTATCGAACTATTTGTTAATTATTTGGTTCAAAACACAGGCCAAAGATTTCAATCCTCGATAAGAATTCCAGTGTATACACAGCTTTGGCAACATAGAACTAGTTATCAAACTTAATCCAAATAAGCTCTTTTACAAGTGCCGCATGCAGTCAGCAAAATGATAGCCACTTGGTGTTTATTTTCTTGTAGCAGCAGATAATGAACAATGGAGAATGGTGCAACATACGAGAACTATCTCCTTTGAAATAAGTGAGCCAGATTATACAACTTATCAGAGAACTTTTTCTGGGAATTGCAACTTTACATGGGAGCAAAAATGCTACATCTCTCATCACGGTATTCTAGGTTAAATTCCAAGGCTCACCTGACATTACTTGAGGATACCCAAGCTACAGATTTTGCGTCATACCTCAGACTCCCAATAACAGATTTAGAATACAGTAAAAACGAGGAACCACTTTCGATGGACCCGTCAATGAGAGCAGCACTTAAATCATGATCTTCTATCAAACTTCCTATCCCCCGATCTTCTTTCTTCAGCCTCTTTTCGCTTTTGCTGCCTGTAATTCGAGACATCATAATTTCTTAGTCAAAACAAATATCAAGTTAGGATATGACTTCCTTGAAAAACAAAATCAAGTTAGGAAATAACTCAATGCAAATTGGTAAATTAAGATTGTTGGTAGAAACAACAATACATTCCGTTACAAATTTCTTGACAGAAAATACAAAAGTTGTCACTACATAATTGATAGTTTGTGTGTTTCCATGCCCATAGGATAATTCATACTTTTCTGTCAAAGGTTCAAAACAAGCTCTCTGATGTTCTCAGCCAAGATTAGATAATGCTCAAGTTTTGCAGTTGCCCCAACTTTTATGACAAAAATGTAAGATGAGTACGACAAGGACAATGATAGGTTGTCCACAAGTTTGAACAGTGGTGCATACCAGTGGAATCTTCATTTGACTGTTAATATATAAAAGATTAACATAGGAGACAAGAAACTTGATGTATTTAGCAGCAGCATGACATGAGCCAAAATGAGTACATACGTGGAGCTATGGAGATGGTTGTGCTAATTGATGCAATGGCAGAACACGAAGTAAGGAATAATATACCAGCCCCGATCAAAAAAGAAAAAGGAAAAGAATAGAAAGAAGAGAGAAGCCTACTTCCAACAGAACAAGGTGCCAAGTAAAAGAGGTATTACTGTTCTTGGTCTCTCTTAAATAATCCAATTGACCAGAAAAAAAACAGCTTGATGAGCAACCTTGGAAACACATAAAATCGAACTCCAGATGTTCAATGAATTATGATTCAATTATGTTTCAGTCAAGCAGCAAGAGGTGTCCTTGACCTTCTTACCTTGTATGATCATCTAATGAAAGAATACTTCTCTTTGTCCCACTTTAACAAAGAAACAGTGATCAACATGATCATGATGAATCTTTTCCATATCATTGGTGTAGAAAACTTGTGAAACAAACAAATTAACATCATCAATGTGCATACTGGAGACAAAAACCTGATAACTGAGGAATTAGATCAGAAAAATTAATTCCAATTTAAACGCCAGCACCTTTGGTCAATCGAGAAAAAACTCACACCACATCCAGAATATGAAGTGGGAAGGAAACCCTCCCCCCAATCGCTTACAACCTGGAAACATAATGCCTCCATTTTCCAACTTCAATTTGTCCAAGCAGATGTCTTAGGCACCTTAATGAAGGATTCATCAGAAGCACAAAATGTCATCATACAACTGTTTCTAAACTACAGAATTCTTTCAAGAATCCTGTTCACAACAATCTAGTATCTTGACCATATAAAACTTGCCCCTATGTTCTAGTATTTTCCTTTAGCAATTCAACTTGTGCCTTCGTATGAGCATGACCTCTTCTTCCAAAGATGGTAGTCAGAACCTTCATTTCTGTATGTTTGTGACTAACCCTTACCATTCTCTACTGCAAATGCCTATCCCCTACAATATGCATGGTCGCAGAGTATGTAGCTACCAGAGATGACTACAAACCAGAAAACTGCCTGGGTGGCAACTAGGAGGATGCTTGGGTGAGGTTGAAAAATAAGAGAACAGAGGAGGAAGAGTAGGAGGCAGAAGTCGGGCTGGGATAAAATTGAAACATAGGATAATGATGTAAATTGTGGTTTCCTAGATTAATTAGGGAAGCAATTTCAAAGTGACATTTCTGTGAACTCGGATGTTAGGTGATAGAGTGATAAAAGGACTCTATTAGAGTAGTTATTATGTTGGGAAGCTAGAGAAGTGTTTTTAGTCCCCATTGAGAAATGTATATATCCTATTTGCTCTGTTTTGTACTTAAAACTTGAAAATGTATTCACATAAATGAGATATATACTTGTAAATACGTCCATGTAAAGATAGGAGATCATTATGTGAGAAAAACTTACGCAAAGGCGGTATATCCAGTCCCAGCATTTGCAGCAGATAAGTGCGCCGCATGCACAACAGTGCCTGAGGAATTGTCATGTCCACCTGAATGCAGCGGATTCTTTACATCTCCATCAATCTAAGACCAATCAAGTGATAAAACAAAGTAAATGTTAATATCCTATTTTTATCTCTGCGTAAGGATCTAACTTTAAGACTAAGTCTAGCAAATGACCTTATCCCACTTTGATTTCTTGTTCTGCCTGACCTCTCTAGTAGCATCAGGAGCTGTTGAAACTGATCCACTAGTTACAGCTGCTGAAATGCCTCAGATTAATATACAAAGTAACAGTATGTTACAGAGGAAAAAAAAACTTTTGAACCGTAATTCTAATATGCTTGCTAATGAAATCAAACAGAACATGTAGAGTGAGAATAAAAAGACAGATAACCAACAGATAAAGCTCGATTGTTGCATAATAAGTGAAAATTGGTACCTGAGATCTGTGTGCTGATCTTTAAGGCAGTAGCAACTGTGCCAGGTTGTGTCCCACCAGAAACAAAATCAACTTTCTGACTCTTTTTCCTTTCCTGCTCCTTCCTTTCAATCTCACGTTTCATATCAGCTTCTATAGCAACAAGAAAATTTTAAATAAAAAAATAGAAGCTTACGGTACATACAAGTATGACATGGTTTGCTGTTGGCAAAGAAAGGAGGTGCAAGTAAGAGTTGACAACGAGAACTCTCCAATTGTAACAGATTGAATGTACTATTTCTATTCAGGATATGTGAGAACAGTAATAAAACATCATAAAAAACTCACAAGTTGTAATGAGTTTTACCTCCACCATGTTATATAATATAATAAAATAATTTAAAGATGGTAGTATAAACAAGTCAACTAGTTTACTTGCAAATCTAATACTATTATAAAAGTGTGTTGGTATGTTAAAACATTTCTTCCGAAAATGCCCTTTAAAACAGTGTGTTGGTATGTTAAAACATTTCTTCCGAAAATGCCCTTTAAAACACATACATGCATACATAAAACACATGCATCCATACATAAACCATACCTCATACATACATAACCCCCAATTAAATGCATTATTCTTTATAACCCCTAAAATAATTTCACCATGACTAAGTTGTTTATATTTTTATAACCTCCCATTAACATATTAGTCTCTTATAATTCTCACTAATTATCACTATCATAATTAAAAAACGTTACAACCATTCATCTTATTACTAAACCATTATAAATCATAACAAATCTCTTACAAAAATGAATACATCATATCATCTCCATTGCACCTCCTTAAATCCTTGAACGTCTCTTTGTCCCGATTTTGCCTATTTGGATTTCATCTCTGCACAACCAACCACTACTATCTCTTATTATAACATGATGAGATTAGCATGATTTATAGTGAAAGATTCTTTCTCTATCTTTTATAGAGAATGTTTCAACTGATTTTTTACCATTAGAATTTCTCTTTGCTTGATTTGGCTTATTATAATTTATGTCTTTATTGGTCAATCAAGATTTTTGAAGTTTGTATTTAATTTTTATTTTGAGAACCATAAAACCCAATCAAGTATGAAATTCATGATTTAACAAAATATGTTAAGTATAACAAAATATGTTTTACTTAACATATTTTATTTAAAGTAATAAAATACATAATTTACTTTAAAGTTATAGTTATAATCTGCTATCAAAACTTAAGATGATGCAAATCGGTAAAAAGAGTTGGACATAATAATAATAATAATGATGTCTCACTTATAGCCTCTTCATATTCATAACCTCTCCATTAATTACCTATAAATTTTTAATTTAATCTCTCACTTATAACCTCTCCTAATCTTTATTTTCATCCATTAATCTCCATCACTAACAATAATGAACCCCCCCACCCCCATCCCCAACAAACACTATCCTTTAATTTCAGCAGAAAGTAAATATACTTAATTTTTATAACCTCCCAATAACAAATTAATCTCCTACTCTTTCTTTCTTAATTCTCACTAATGATCACTACCATAATCATAGAAAATGTTTTAAATATTTATTTTTATACTAACCGCTATAAATCACAACTAATTTGTTTAAAATTTTCTATGAATTCTCTTATAAGTATAATTCCCTACTTCATTATTAACACTAATAAAGTAAGATTTCGAAATAAGCTAAATATAGAGTGAGGCTTCGTGACATGTGTGTATTATTTAGAGCTCAAGGTCTTAAGACTAAATTCTGGAAATGTCACATCAAGTTACTTCACTTCCAACTGATCAAGCAAGATGAATAATTAAAAAAAGAAACAACGAGTAGTTTCCCGTATTTATATAAATGAGTTTGAGATTTTTAGGTTCTGCTCTTACTATGTATATGCAAAGATCTTTAGCACTAGCATAATATGCATATAGTAGTCCATATTTTTCAGCGTAACGAAGAAAAAAGATTAAAAATTTTAACGTTAAATAATATTCAGTCTGCTATTATGAAAATTAACTTTGAACTGTGGATATGCTTTGGTCATACCCATCATGATGGTTCCTTAAAAAATCATGTACTAAGTTGCAAAATCCATCATTCACAAAAAGTTTTGTCTGATTGAAATTTGTAGGCTCAACTTAAAAATATTGTTAGAGCTAAATAATGACACACATTACTGTAAGACCCCATAACTTTTTTTGATGATGTTTGTTCTTAACAATTGAAGAAGCTCTGATTAAGTCTTTTCAGAGGATTATATAGATTTTGGTTAATTTTTTAGCTCTGATAGAGTATTTTCTTAGTTTTCATAGAATATAAAAATTTCATATTAATACAAAATATTTAAATTATTAATTTACAATCATTATGTTATTTATCCTTCCTAATGGTATAACTATATTACAAATTTGTGAATAAAAAACCCCAGCATGTGCTAAATTATAAACGTCTAATGGTATAACTATATTACAAATTTGTGAATAAAAAACCCCAGCATGTGCTAAATTATAAACGTCAGACATTATGTTAAATTATAAAACAAATAGAATTATGCTTTTTTAGGTTCACAAATTGAATAATGTCTTTTAGGTATTCCATAAGTGTTATTGGAAAGCTCTGGTTTCATAAAACTAAAATTTTAGAAAAATTATAGAGTAAACCTTTAAATTTACAAAACAACCTTGAAACTTTATAATTTTATGGATATGCTATAAAATTTGCAGAGAGGACCTTGAAATGTCATAAAATAAACCTCATAAAAGATTATATTTACTCAAGGATTTTAATGATAAAAAGATAGCAAAAGTCCTCAAATTACATCTAACACCAAACTTATTATAAAAAAAATATAAACATAAGATTAATCCAACAACGTGCAACGCACGTGCACTATACTAGTAACATAATGCGCGTCATTTTTATCTAAATGATGTTGTGACTTGTGAGTATCTTATAGGCAGTAACCAGTTTGCCAAATATGAAGAGCAATACCCTTACTTTCCGTAATACCGGTAGGTGCTAAAACCTGCACAACTAAGAAAACAGTCCTTTTTATATCTTCATGAAGGAAACCAATAAGTTGGTAACTTGGTTGTATTTAAACTTCAGCCACCTGTCATTTATGTAAATGTCGAAGTGACACACAATGATACAGGTCAATGGCAGATGATCCACAAGGAAAGACATAAAAGCGCTTGAATTTTGGTGTTACTTTACAAAATTTCACATCAACATCGCAAACATTGATGCAAAATAAGTCCCTCAAGTCAGTATGATTTCAGACTGTTGAGACAATATTGACCCTCATATTTACCAACTCAAGGGGCACTACAAGTCTCAGGCAACTGAGCGCTATGACACCCATCCCTTTCCAAACAATCATTTACTAAATATTAAAAATTGTACATTACCCCCACCCCCATAAAAACAACAAAAGCAGCAGCATCTGTAGCTACTAGCTGACTTGATCAGAAATGCTTGAGCCCCCACGACCTGATTAAATTTCAGTCTTAGTAGCAAGATGAAGAATTTTTTTACAGTGCCCTTGCTCCAGTAATATCAACTCCTCCCTTTCTCTGATCAAACTGTTACTTCGAACTGAGCTATTAGAGAGCCTCGTAATTAAATTGATTGATAATATTGCATAAAATTCCTAGACATCATCCTTATTCTTAAATTTATACTGTCCACTGACCGAAAGCCTTAGAGACAAAAAAGGAAAGGGATAAAACAGCACACATGTCAAATGGAATCTGAGTGCACAGTGGACACCTAACCATTTTGCATGTTGTGAACATGCATATGACTGCTCTTAAGAGCCAACCACATATAACAAAGTCCGGAAACTGTCGTGAAAATTGAGGGCTATGGTTTCATACTCTAGACTTTGAGCACCAATATTGTGGGCCAAGACCTGGTTGTATGCTGATTTTCTTCGATCACCACCCAGATTGATTTGACCAAGATGTCTCCCGATACCACAGTTTTTCCGTTGCCACTGAACTATACCTCAAATTCCGAAGTTGTTGTGAGGAACGGGGGTTATATTCTAATAATCTAAGCAATAACAGCATTTGATAAGGCATAAGAGGTCCTATATGTTAAATATGGCCACATTATTTATCAAAGTGATGTTTTTTCTAACAGTGTTTTATAATTACAAATGTCACAATTTTGGTTAAGTTGAAAGTTGAAACCTCCAAATCTAGCTGAAGCACAAATTATATGCACAATCTGACAAGGGACCATTATCACAGATCCACAGCAGCATTACCATATACGATTGAAAAAGGAAACTTACACATCTGTATAACTTTCAGATAGAAGTTCCTCATATTCAAAAGGAATGAGTTCATAGTTCACAAAGCACCAAAACTTTCTCTGTAATCCTAGAAGCATCTTCTGGGACATGAACTTCTAATCTTTATCTGACCAAAAGCACAAAAGAAAGTGTTTCCTAATGACCTCAACATCCATGCTTGAAGTCATCCCTGATAGAAAAACAAGAAGCTCCAAAGTTCTTATATTGAGATATATCACAACCCTATCTATTGCAATGGGCAACAGAGAACAAAGAACAAGAATAATTCCGGCCAAGTTCATCAACTGATAATGGAAAATCGATATACGGGAATCAGAGAGCTTCTTTACATACTAGAAAACCTCGTTTAATTATCTTCTTGTATTGGTTCAGCCCTGTGTATCATGACTCTGCATTGTTCATTGAACCTAAGATTGTCTCTTAGTAGATTATTCAGTTAAACTGTAGCAAAGGTTGATTATCTGCTGTAAGAGGTGGGTCCAATTAGCTGAATGGTTAAAATCACAACAGGAAGATACATGCCTAATAGCTGAATATACAAATTCTTTCATGAATATAAAATTTATATCCTCTATTGTAAAAAGAATCCATACCAAAACTAATGTTCAGTCAAAATTAACATTTATATTTTTTTGACGTAGAGCAATGTAATAAGTTCTCTGCATGGATACAAGATGTCAAGACCTCATGAAAACAAATAAAGCAGCAAATTACAATATCTGCACAAAGAGCACCAGATAACTAGATAAAATACTCACTAAATAACCATTTTATATACACTGGTAGATAGAAAACTAACGGAACGGTGAGTTACCTATCTCATCATAGTAGTCGCTTTTATCATACCCATGAGGGTCAAAGACATCTCTACTGAAGCAGGTTCCTATCTGATCTATACCTTGATACCTCACAGCATGTTGCAAAAAGTCAGGATTTCTGTAATCCTTCCTATTCCGCAAAGCCGCATTGAAACTTTTTCCTGCCTTCTTATATGCAAGGAACTTGTTTATCTTTTCCTGAGACAATCATAGATAAAGATACAAAATGAAAGAATAAGAAGGCGATAAAAAGTAGAAAAAAATGATAGAATCGTGTGGGTGTGTTTTGTGTGCGTGAGGTAAGCGCACGCTCGCATGTGTGAGGGGGTGTACTGACATGCATGCGCGTAGGTGACTGTTATTGGGTGGGTGGATGGGCGGGCCTGTGTGTGTA